TTCCCTGCCGGACCTCAACTGCGAGCTCCAGGCCCAAGTGTTCCCTGCCGGACCTCAACCACAGCACACAACCACAATCACAAACACATAACCACAAACACACAATCACAAACACATAACTACCAACACAACCACAAACACATAACCACCAACACAACCACACACACACACAACCACAAACACATAACCACAAACACACAACCACAAACACGCAACCACAAACACAACCAGAAACACACAATCACAAACACACAATCACAAACACAACCACAACCACAACACAGCACACAACCACAACCACAACACACAACCACAGCACACAACCCGAGTACCCACAAGCAAAACCGAGAACTACAATACTCACGACCATGGCAACATGCTCCTCACTATGGCATCAAGACAAACGATTGAAATATCATGGCGGGGATCACTCGAAGTAAAGTATGTTTGTTTTTGTGTGTGTGTGAAAGCAATCATTTTTCATGGATTTGAGGGCCACAGGGTATATTACATCACGTGATGCTTCCTTCCAGCCGCTTCGCCCACCTCGCCTGAAATCTCGGCGCGCTTCTGGTCATACTCGTTCCAACCGAGCAGCCTGTGACCGACCGACATCACAGGCTTGACCCGGTCTTCGACCCCGTTCAGACGATCCCAATCCCCGAGGAGGCGTCATTTTTGTTCGGGACCCCCCCTGGTTTTTTGTTCAGGGGTCTATTCCCTAATTATAGGGCTCCTGGCAAGTGAGATCCTTGAGATAAGTGGTTTGTTTGGGGAAACATCCATGTATATCCATGTGTTTCTGTTTGTTTGAGGTCCAGTCCTACTTCCGTTTCGGTGAAGGGACTGGGGTGGGTGGTTTGGGGGGACAGGTCCCTACCTTCTCAGGATGTGGGCCAAACGACCCTTATTCGTTACACCCCGTAGGTTCTGGTATGGAGCTCTGAGTGAACAGAGGTTCTCACCTGGAAACTCATTCCAATTCCATCCAGAAACGGATGGAACCGATTGCAAGGGTCTTTGTGGATACATTCATTGCCAGTGGCCGGAAAACCATGAAAAAACGGGTTTTCACATGCAAGTACTAGAACTGTAATACAAAAAAAAACATACAAAAACCCATGCTTTTGCTAGGGACCAGGGACAACAACCAGTTTTTTGATGGTTTGTGGGGCCAGTGGTTGGGACTGAGCGACCTGTTTTCCTCGGACCGTGACCTTCGCTCGTGGAGGGTCGACCAGTGCCGGTTGAGCCCTGGAGCTTGGATGGAAGCAACAGCTTGCGTGAATGAGCCGACTGAATCCTAATTGAACTGAAGCCTTGTTGATTATTTGTTGACTATATATATATAGTTCAAGGTCACGCATTTCAAAAGTCGAGCCAGCTCAGTTTGGCCTCTTCAGCGCATCAAGCCCGCGATTGGTGTTGAAGCGCTGTCGCAGAAAGTCATGCCTGGGCGGCTGGGCGGCGTACAAATGTGGGTCCTCAAGAGATCGGGTCTACCTTCTCAGAATGCGGGCCTGGAGTTTCTTAGCTTTTGTAGAAACCATGTATAGCTCAGGCAGTTCCTGCTAAAGGTTGTCCAGTCATTCACCTTCCCAGCTTCCAGGCTATAACTATACTAAGAATCTCCTATGATCTGTCCCTGGGATTCTTGGTGCAGCATCCTTTGAATGGTCTTTACCAACAATTTGTTGGCTGGACAGACTAGACTACAACATCAGGTCGATCAAAGTTTTTTTCATGTGAAGGTCTATGGGTAAACAAAGACATAGCCTAGCATCCTCTAGGTCTATGGGTGTTTCCTGGGCGGGGACTGCGACAGAGAGAGATCCAGTTTCAGGTCACGAAAAAGACCTCAGCCTGGAAGCCTAGTCCCAACCAGAAAGAAATGAAAGTATATGAAAGTCGTCTTCCAGAGGAAAGTCGTCTTCCAGAAGCTGTGTCAACCTTGTTCGACTCCCGAGCTGAAACACGGGCAGGGCGGCGGGCAGGGCGGCAGGCCTCCCACCGAGTTCGACTCGCTCCCGGCCCAGCGGCAACTTCTCGACGTCCTCTTGGTCATCCGGGAAGAGCGACACGCCCTGCGGAATGCCTCGGAGACCACGCCGGGAGGCTGCGTCACGTCACGTGTCTCGATCTTCCGGCACCTTCGGCGTCTCCTTCGGTGTCTCCGAAAGGCTGGGCAGATGGTAGGGCAGCGGAAGGGGCAGGGCGTCATCTTCGGTCAGATCGGAACCGATCTTCGGACTGACGCGAGCCAGACGCGACCCCCGGACCGGACCCAACTCCGGGTCAGGGGGACCCGAAGCCATCCCGGTGAAGGGAGCAACGAAAGGGCTGTGAACGGAGCGTTGGTAGCTGGCTGAGCACCATGTTAGAACGCCTCGGGGCCTTGGGTCCAGGTGGCCTAACGTGGATCCAACAGGAATGTTCTGGGTTGATGCTCCAAACATATAGTTCCTCTGTGTACCGAATCCGATGGGTCCTAGGTTCCTGGGCAGGACAGCTAGCGATTGGTCAACATGCATCTGATCTTGATCAAAAAGCAAACAGCACCTGGACCTTTCAAGAAGTCATTCGGTTGGCAACCGGGCAGCTCAATGAGCTTTCAGGACCCTCGTCAAACCCGAACATCCGCAAACCCCAAAGAGCAGGGGCTCCGTCGGTTCCGTCGATCCCGTTTGCTTGCAAACCATCAAACGGGGCTCCGTTGTGGCTCCCCTGAATCGGAACCTCCAGCAGGGGTGGCGGGAAGCTCCAGTCAGGTGCCCTGACTCATGACCCTACGAAAGGCAGGCCCATACTATCTGGTGTACGCCTAGACCCTGACTGAGCTCCATTTTAGACCACCAACCAAACATTAAGTCTTTTTCTATGCACACAGGGGTCAAAATGGGTTCTAGGCCCCGGAAGGGTTGGGGACTACTTTCATTCCCAGGAGCGCCCACCTCCAGATAGGGAATAGGGACGGGGCCTTGTTGCTGGCACCCACCGGGGTCAATGTACCTGGAGTCTCAAAGTACCTCGGAAAATGGGTACAAGTACCTGTTTTTTAAGGGGTCGGGTCATGTCCAATTTTCTAAGGTACTTTGGAGGGTCCAGAGTCCAGGTAGGCATATATTCCATACATGGATGGTCTGGGGTGGATCCGGTCAAGCACTTGCCCGTTTGGGGCTCCTGGCCGCCGCCCCTCCGTTTCGAAGCTGATTGGGGTGGGTGCCAGGTCTAACCACCTTCTGAGGTATGTGGTTGGGGGGGGCATTGACCCGATCCAAACAAGGTAAGACTGGGGGCCCCATGTTGCCAGGTACCACCTTTCCGTCCCTAAAAGCCCCACGGGTCGCCCTCGCGCGAGGTCAGACTGCGGAGGCCCGATCGCCCAGGTGCGGAAGGAGACCTCCTTCTCAGGAAGGCCCTGGAGGAAGAAGTTCTGCATGGAGGTATACCTCAACTCGCCAGCTCGAGCCCAGGTGGACTCGAGCTTGGCTGGAGCTGCTCCGGGACATGAGGAGACATGGCATGGGTACTGACATGCAGGTCCTTATGTTCAAAGGTAAAGGTAGGTTGGTCCCTCTATCAAAGTGGTTTGATCATCCAGAGTGTGTGTGTTTGCCTCAAGAAAGTTTGAATCACCTGGCGAGTAGGAGATCACTCCCAAACCATCCATGGGACTGGAATAGTTACTAAGTTCGATGTATGCACAACGTTCCCATGAATGCATAACATTGAACAATGTACGACTCGGATTCATCATGTTAGCTCAGCAAACAACAATGAAACACTATGATTCTATTATATCAGTTCCATGTACCAGCACCACCCAAAGGTTGGCTTATAGACCCCCTGAAGATGCATGTTCCATCTATAATAACCACCCTAACCGGGCGGTGCGGATATGAATGACTTGAGGCCAAGGGGGGGGGGCGAAAGCTAGCGCTCCAGAATGGGAAAGTGGAGGGCAGCGAGGTAGGAAAAAACACGGCGCTCTTTTTGGAGGCAGGGGTGAAGAGTCCTTTATATGTGGTTCTTTGCCCGGATCCTCCTGCGAGAGAAGAGAGAGAAGAGAGACGGAAAGACGAGAGACAGAGAGGAGAGAGAGAGAGAGAGAGACAGAGAGGAGAGAGAGATGAGAGAGATATGAGAGAGATGAGAAAGAGATGAGGGAGAGATGAGAGAGATGAGAGAGAGATGAGAGAGAGTTGAGAGAGAGATGAGAGAGAGATGAGAGAGATGAGAGAGAGATGAGAGAGGTGAGAGAGATGAGAGAGACAGTGAGGATGAGAGAGAGAGAGAGACAGTGAGAGTGAGAGTGAGAGTGAGAGTGAGAGTGAGAGTGAGAGTGAGCGAGTGCGGCCGCAAGATACGCAACGCTAACCACATGCCAAAGAGCGACGACAGGACGGAGTCGAACTTGCGAAGAGGGAGGAGGGAGGGAAGGTGGGAGGAAGACAAGGAGACAAGGAGGAGGAGAGGGGAGGTGGAGAGGGGGGGGGGGCTTCGACCTGAAAAATCAGGGGTTTGGATTTGCACCCGATCGAAAGAAACCTTGCTATCGCAAGAGTAACTCCAGCTAGCTTCGCTAGCTTTCGTGATCAATTCCATGTACCAGCACCCGACTTCACAGGTGCTTCCTGGTGACAACCACTAACAGGTGCCCAGGTTCACCACCTGTGGTCGGGTCTCCAAACAGCCTGGCCAGGAGGATCCTGGTATATCGTTATGTCACTCTTCCAGTCCCATGGATGCTCTGGGATGCTCTCGTAGCGTAGCTAGCGTAGCGTATTGCGGAGAGAGTCCCTGCTAGTATGGCACAAACGGCACACACCGCACTGCCAGGTGCTAGCGGCTGCTAGCGGTTCGAGGGAGTTTGGATCCGAATCCTGTGGATAGAATGACCAGGATCGTCCAAGCGTGCAACCCTGCCTTTCAAGCTGCGAATCCTTGGGCTCTCCATGGCAGGGGTCGGACCCGACACCTTCGCAGGGGTCCGGGCCCTCAAAACCCTATGTGTTTGATGGTCCGGATTCTTAGGGTGGTTAATATAGATCACAAGGCAAGATAGGCAAGCGCAGATAGGAACATCCATATCCGATCCGTCATGTCACATGTCGGTTCCTTTCGTGCGATGGTGTTCCTGAACCCGATGTGTCTCTTCCTATCTCAGCGCCAAGATCAAAGGGTCGTTGAGGTTGATCCTTCCCTCAAACATTGGATCCTGTCCTCGGCCCGAGAAGAAACTCCCCTCCACTTTCCTCTGGACTTTCCTCGTGGATGTATTGGGTGAAGGAAGCTTAGGGTGGCCGGCTGGGTGGCTTCGGGCCGCTGCCGGCTGGGATCCCTAGCTTTTCAGGAGGCTCAGCTGATGCTTAAAAGCAACAAAACTAACAAACATATACCAGCACCACCCAGTTCGGGTGGTTATTGGATAGAAAATACATCTTCAGGGGGGCCTATAAGCCAACCTTTGGGTGGTGCTGGGGACCCCAGTTCTTCAAAGTGACCTTTTCATGCCCTGGTTGGTTTCGGTCACCAAAAGACCTGCTTTAGAGGCCACGGACCTGGGACTCCAGTTGGTTCGGTCACGAACCGAAGAACCCAAAAGCACCACGGAGTTAGAATGGCTTATAGACACACCCTGACATCCCCTGACTCTCAGTATTTTCCCTCCAATCACCACCCTAAGAGAGCGGTGGTATGGGACACCAAGGGATTGGAATGTCGGGGTTGGATCCCGGCAGGAGTTGGTTTGATCCTGACACCTCTTTGCTTCCCGAGAAACCAGCTCCTTTCCGCGTGCTTCCCTTCTCCTTTGAAGCTCATGATCTTGGCCTCACAGATCGAGCATCCGCTTGCATCCGCTTCGCCGCGGTGCCAGCGGTGCCAAAGAGAGAGAGAATAGTTTTTGATTTGTGCCATGGTGATCACGGTCCCTTGAAGTTCATCTTACCCCTACCCAAACACTCGTTTTCTAAAACCCCCATCCATGGGACTGGCATATTTACCATTGACCCCTGAGACCACTCCAACCCAGTGCATCCCAGGCAAACCACTATATAAGGAACCAGGGATTCTAGGTCTATGGTTTTAGTCTTTGGAACCACTGGTTACCAGCTATAGTGGTAACTGGATGCCCTGGGCAATGTAAGTATGGGTACAGCCATGATCTCTGAATGAGTTGCTGGATCCGAGAGAGGGAAGACAGCGACCGATCCGTTCGTTCGTTCCAAAACAAATGTCCGATGTTCGTGAGTGAAGTCCACCGCTCGATCCCGTAAACCTCGATTCCTTCTGGAATGTTGGAGTACAATGTATCCCTAAGGGTCCAGGACCATCCTGAGGAGGTGCCCGGACCCTATGGGTATACTATGGGTACAAAACCCCGACCAAAAGAAAGTACCGTTCAGTCAGACCGGATCTTCTAGCTGGAAGAACTTGTACCTGAAGTCTGCAGCTTGTACCTCAAATAGACCAGGTCCAGGTTTTAAGAGACTCTGGCTACCAACAGCATGCGATCTTCGATCCCTCAAGTGGCTGCCCGTCCACGGAGGGGTTGCAGCCATCGAGGTTGCAACCTGAAAACCTCCGCGGACAGGAACAAGAATTACATATATACAGTGATCAGTGATCAAAAACATGTGATACCAGATTCTACAAGGCACCTCTTTTCGTGTTTGGATGCACCATGGTTGGGCTAACTGGACGAGCCATTTTCTTCGGTGCTGAAGTGCTCAATGAATGCTCAATGGCCGCTTCTGATCAACAGCATCTTCAGAAACCACCATGTGTATGCATTGCTGAAACAGCTCATGTTCAGGGGGACAAGGTGAATGGATGGTGAATGCCGCGCGCCGTGGAAGCTTCATCTCGCCTCCAGCATGCCCTCCATTGTCCCACGGAGCCGCTTCTTGTCACAGGTGATGGTGTGCCCTGCGAAGCAATGGCCTGTGAAATGCAAGAGGGTTCCAGTGGCAACATGTCAAGGACCGATGGGCACCATGCCCGGATGAGCTCCAAATACCGAATGAAAAGGTACTTTGGCGCCCTATAGAAGTGGAACATGGATGGGCCCGTTTTTGTTCACTTCAAAGTTATAGTTAGCTTCCTTGCTCCGTTCGTAGCGATGCTGATGGCCAAACATCCAAAGGAATTTGGATCAGCACCGAGTACACGAGTGGGAAACGTCTATGGCGAGAATGGTCGCGTCGTAGGGGAAGCTGCGGAGAATAGTATCCAGTATCCATAGAACCATTGGATAACAGTTTCTGTCATTTTTATCTAGATTCTATATCACAGAACACCAAACCATGAATGGTTTCTGGTCGTAGTATTTCAACAAGCAGACAGGACTAGAATCGTCCAATCTGACCACATCTTCCTTGGATATGACTACATCTTCCTTGGATACCTGGACTTTCATAGGGGTGTCCAATGGAGATGTAGGATATTCCATTGGATAAACCTTTGAAGGTGCTGGTATGCATGGTTAGTCTTGAATAAGCTTCCCCTTAAACAGTGATGATAATATGCACGAACTGCGTCGTCCATCGAGCTGCTCCATAAGACCCAATGATATCAAACAGAAAAACACACATCCGTAAACCCAGAAATCTTGCTCAGAGCTCCAACTACCTGCCTCCTGAGAAGGTGGTTAGGGTGGGTTTCGGGCTCTAAACACCTTCTCAGAATCCCTAGGCTAGGGATAGTACGGAAGGCCTGGAATTGTGTATGTCAGAAGTTCCAAAAGGGTACAGTAGGGGTGCACAGGACATAAAATAAAAGAAACACATCAAACTGTTTGAAACTCTTGGTGGTTACCTATACCTGTTTTTTTAATCATCAAGTGTTTGTTTCACATGGCCATCCCTACATGTTTCGTGATATGTTATTCAGCTGGTTGACTGACTGTAGTCTCAAACACTACTCATAGAAGAGGATGGCACAAAACCTCGCGCCGTCTCACGACGTCGACTTCTCCGTCCCACCTAGCTCGCAGCAGCTGAAGTCCCCATGGCCCACAGGAATCCGCGGCGCTTCAAAGGGATGCAGCAAGAAAGGCGTGGCCTAACCGTGGTTCCCGGCGGCACCGCGCGAACAACGGCAGGGAACATGGGAACGGTGGGGGTTTTCTGAGATGTTTTCTGAGGTCGGAGGTGCAGGGCTCGAGAAGACCGATTTCGGCTGGCCTGCCCGATTTCGGAAATCTGGATCGCCCGAGAGGGACATAGAGGGACATCGTGCGCCACAATTCTGAAGTCATGGTTTTTGTCTGCAACAAAGGCCCTGGTACAAGTGTGGCGCGGAGAAGGTATCACATTCTCATTGTTTGGGCGGAGGAAGTGGAAGATCAGGGGAAGACAGTGTTCCTCTTCCACGGGTCTTTCGAGCTCCATTTTTGAGCTGGCAATAGACACCTGCATCTGAAGGGTCAGAGGAGAAAGTTAATCAACCCCTAGGGCACCTGGCCCACATCCTCAGAAGGTAGGGACAACTCCCCCTGGTCCAGCACCCCATCCATCCCACCTGGCGTCGCACCATGTCCCACCTTCACCGAAACGGAGCTATAGTTGGAGCATGTTGGAACAGTCAATCTCCGAAAACATCGAAAACTCGCTTCGGGACAGGGGGCCGGTCTGTGCCCATCGAACCTGATGGTCTGTGCTGGTCACACGACCGAGCTGCCTCAGCACCCACCGTCTCCACCCCCCCCAGTGCCTCAGCACCGGTACACACCATGACGCGCACGTCGTTGCCTGGAACGGAACGGCACGGTCGCTGCCGCCGTGGGCGGAGCGAAGCTGGGAGCAGAACTGGAACTGGAAGATGTCTATCTACCCCCTGAACTCATCTGAAATCCATCATCCAAAGGTAGGGTTACTTGTTCTGCCTTTGGGATCTGCTTCGATGAAAAGGCTGAACACGTGGTGCAGTTGGGGGGGTCGGAACGCTATACCGATCCCAAACACTGCCCAGTCGCTGGACAAGATGGCGCTCATCATCTCCTTGGGCGGTATCGAAAAGCATCGAAAATACGGATGATATGGCGAGACGCAGTTGATGTGTTCGACACTGTTACGTAGGTGCCAAAACGTCGGGTCCAGTCGTACCGAACCTGAGAAGGTAGGACTGGATGTCTAGGGATATGAGGACAAAAAGCAATCCCAAATAGTATCAAATAGTATAGGTATTCAGCCATACATGAGGTCTTCATCTTTTTGATCAGACTTATTGAGATCATTCCGAGAGAAACTGATCAAAAGAATGAACTCGCACCCCTGAAACTCCTCGCACGAAGCGTTTTGAAAGAACCGTTTCTTTGGGTTTTTCTTTGGGTCCCAACCCGGCTGCCGCCCTTTTCTTGCAAAAAGTACTAACTGATGACTGATGAGCCTCCTGGAATGATTTAGATTTCAACATCGACTTGAACCTACCACCTTCCGAAATGGTCACCTTTCCGGATCAGACAATCAGGACGGCCCAGTGGATGACTCTTTCGGAATCAGAAAAAATATCCATATAGTCCATTTAATAACAAATAGTTAAAAGAATAACATCTCTCACAATAAACACAGCTTTCAGGTGAACAAGCAGACCAGGAGTTCCACACGCAATTGTCTCAGCGCATGGGTTGCAACTCTGGCCCAACCCGGCCCGGCACGTGGCGTCAAGTCATCAGACACGGTCCGGGATCAGAAGAGAAGGCTCTCCTATCCCCGACAAGCCATGTACCAGCGCCTTCCAACAGGTTGTTTGGAGACCCTAACAGGTGGTTTCTGGGCACCTGTTGTCACCAGGAAGCACCTGTTGGAGGGTGCTGGTACAGGGCCATACAGGCGTGAATTCATGTTGGTCAATGTATATAGGATATAATTACCATGATACCACACATGGAGTTACATGGAGATGTTCACCTATTGGTCTATTGGACGGTCATTGGGAAATCCATGGAAATCCTGAGCCACCGCGGTATGACATGGCATGACCCAGCTTCTTCAAAACGTCCTTTTTGAAAGTCCCTGCTAGTCCACCCACCTTTTACAGGTCTGCTTGTGACCGAACCAACCAGTGGATGTGCTATATAACAGCCTCCGCTTCGACACGAACCGCTTCGGTGACGTTTGCCGTGACCGCCGTGACCTCCGCCGAGGCTCTAAGCGGCACCAGCCGCGCGTGCGCCAGCTGGAGAAGTTACAGGAATGACCGGTCTCCTGGAACCCGGCGGTCAGGCTGGACAGGCTCTTTCCCAGTTCGGGTCCAGGTAGCTCCGTACTTCGGATGGTCGTTGCCGGAGGTTGTCGTACGTACGAAACCAGAGAATGGTCGTTGCCGGGGGGTCTTTCAGGACATCCGAGCAACGGATGGTCCTGGACCCTTAGGGTTTGGACCAAAACAACGCACATCTTGGGCGACCGACGCCACCGACGCGACCGGAATTCTGTGGGTCTGGGGTCGGACCCGGGTTCCGGGTCTGGGTCTGGGGTTTCGAACACCAATCCCGATCGGTTTGGTTCGGGAACAGGAAGGGGCTGGCTGTGAACGGAGCGTCTGGGTAATGTCAAAAACCCCACAGATCCCCACAGTGTATCAAATCCCAAAAGCTCCAAGCATCTCCTCAAAAGGATCCTAACCAGAAATCTAAAGCGGACCTACCTGAAAAAGGGGTGTCCTGTCTGGAGACCGCTGAGTGGTGTAGAGTCTTCCAGGCGATCCCTCTTCACGGCTTCCAGGAATTTTGGGCATCTTCCTCTCCACACGAGGCCGGCGCTTCCTACGAGGCCACCTGCGACGTCTCACCTGCGACGTCTCACCGGCTTTGGGCGGTCGATTGAGCGGTTTCGAAGACGGGCCCACCTTGTGCATGCAGACAGGTGCCAAGACCAGCAAGAGGGAGGCCCTGCAGATGTCGCCACGCTCGGAGATAGCCACGATCCGAGGGGGGCCCCGAGGACTGGATGAGATACCACGGCTCCAAGCATCGACGTCCATCGAAATGAATGACTTGCAGCCCTAGGGATCCGGTCGTACCTTCTCAGGAGGTGATTGGAGGATTTTCTGGGAAAGGGTTTTCTCTTTGGCACCCAAAAAGTATAACTGTTGTCATAGAGTACGTGTATATTGGTGTATATCTCTATAGCATTTGGGGTCGGTGATTGAAATGATCAGGGGGCAATGTAAGCATATATTCCATGGAGTGGAGTGGCGGGGTGGGCGGGGGAAAGGGAAGGTCTAAAAAGTGATAAAGATATTTTTATAGCATCCTTTCTTTCCTCAAGCCTCCAAAGTATTGTTTTTCTAAAAACTAAGTTGATGAACATGCGACATGACCCTGATACAGAAAGCACAACCGACGTCCCATGACGGATTATAGGAACATACTCACAAAGGGTCCTCACGGGTTCTGGGCTGTCCAATTCTACCTGGACCTTACTTATGTTAGTTCCAAACATAGGTACGATTTCGGACCTGCGTTAATAGGGGTCAATAGTGCTTTGGCTATTATAGTTTTTGAATAATCCTTTCCCTTGATTTGATTTGATTTGCTCTGGTGATGCTCTTGAAGTTCAGATGGTGGAAGTTCAGTTTACCACAGCTTCAGAGGACTAGTTTGCCGCACTAAGACGATGCGGCGGAGACTAGTTCTGGCGCAGGGTCCCGTCTGGGATAGATCGACACATTGTGCATAATTGGAAGATCCAAACCTACCAGCACCCTCCAACAGGTCTCCTCTGGTGGCTTTTGGAGACTTAAAAGTCGCAGGTGGTGACCTGTTGGAGGGTCCTGGTATATAAGAGTGTGTCCAATCACCTTCTGACAAGGTACGACCGGATCCCCAAAAAACACATTGCGCATCAAGACGGAAGATCTAGGTCTTACAAGTTCCTGGCGGCTGCGCTCTACAAGAAACAACTCCCTGCAGCGAAACCGCCATGTCATTGAACCCGCCACCAGAACCGCACGAGTTCCACCGCAGTTCCGGTGGGTTGGCGAGGACAGAGACATGCCCTTCAGCACGGTCAATTTGGTCATTGGACAAACTCAAAGGCCTGGGTGACAACCTGGTTTTTGTATATGAAAACCTTTGTTTTTCATGGTTTTGAGGGCCGGTAGGGTGACGTGCAGATCCGGCCTCTCCACATAGGCTGCAATGGATTGAACAGCAAGGCCTGGACAAACTGTCGAATCAGGGTCTGTAACCAGAGATGCTTGGAGATCCAGTACCTTGACCCGTGTTTCTGTACCTAGAGATGCTTGGGTACTTGCGAGAATCGTACGGTCGTATCTGGTTTCTTAAGGTTCACCCAGAGAAGCCACCTGGCACACCCCAAGTTCGGAGACCACACGCAGTGATCATTTGCTGGATTTGAGTGACGTAGAGACACATCACAAAAGCACCCATCCATGTCGGCATGAAAAACATCTTGGTCTGCGGAACTCTGTTCATGTGGTTTGACGACAGTTCCACTGCCGGGGCTCGACTTCAAGCACCCGAACGAACATGAGACAGGTTTCCTGGAGGGAATATCAATTGTTTGCCTCTACTGCTTCTTGGAGAGGGAGTAGGTCGAAGGCTCTCCTAGGTTAATCTTCCATGACCAAACCATCCATCTAAAGGAATTAGTTAGTTACATACATTTACCCCATTTATGACCCCTAAGGTCAGTAATTAGGTGACTATTCCATAACCAGGATTGTCTGGGATGGGATGGTCCGGGAACATCTTCACAGCTGCGAAGACCCTCAGATCCCTCAGCAGCTGCCAACTTGAAGGCTGCACCGAGGACCGAGGGAGGCAACGGCACATCAGGAAGTGAATGGGTGGTGGGAGAGGGCGACACCGACACCTCCCCATGCGCAACACCACCTGTTTCTGCAAGACCAGTGGTGTGGAACTTGGATTTGGCCGAGTAGTGTAGGGTGTTACATTTGAGACCCCTTGGAAGGTGCTGGTATATTCAGTGGATCGAGCAAAGACTCAGCTGGACCTGATCACAACCATGTTGTTGTTTTACAACAGTGGTTGCTGTCGCTGTGGCCAGACACTGGACAGATTTCATCCCAACAAAGTCCTCTTAAGACTGCCACCGATCAATGCTCAAATACATTTGAGATTTATATAGTGTGAATAGATAGATAGATAGATAGATAGATAGATAGATAGATAGATAGATAGATGGATGGATAGATAGATGGATAGATAGATGGATAGATAGATAGCTAGGTAGATAGATAGGTAGATAGATAGGTAGATAGATAGGTAGATAGATAGACAGACAGACAGACAGATAGATAGAGCTAGACACCTAGTTAGATACAATATGGTAGATAAATAGGTAGATAGATCGATCGATAAATAACTACTACTTAGTTAGATAGATTATAGATAGAGTCGATGGAGTCCATAGATTCAGCAAACATCTCTCTGTTTTCCCCGTGGAGGGTTCATCCTCTGACTGCTTTCCATCCTACCATACCGCAGAGTTACCCAGTTTCCACAACCCATGAAACCCAAGACCCCTATTTGAATAAATCAACATATATAGAAATGGCATGGTATACATCCAAGAATATATTATGCAAGTGCACACTGGAAAACAACTAAAACAACACGACATCATCAACATGTTAACGATCTTTTTCCATGGGCACCGATCGCACCCCAGCAACTTTTCTATAGCCTCTCGACTGGTGTTGTTTGACCGATCGCAGACCGATCTGCAACCCATCATTCATCGTCATGTCCCATGTCCAACGTCTGGTGCCAAGGCACCACTCTGATGGACAGTTTCTGGATCAAAGTCCACTTCCACTTGAGGGATGCAGCCTGGGTCATCTGCGGGACAGGACATGCGCCTTCTGGGGGACATCTTCCGTGTTGATTTGTTCTCCAAAATAGACTTCAAGGATCAAATACTTCAAGTCCTTTTTTGAAGTATTCTGATGCGAAATATGGACACAAACCAGCACTCGACTGGATCAGACCTTTCACCACCTGCCGACCGGGCCGGCTCCACAAAGCCATTTCGGAGACCTGGCCATGAGGGAGACCTGTGCCCCGAGAAAGCCTGCGACGCCGGCGACTTCCTTTGTGAACAAAGTCAAATGAGACATGCACCCGAAGTGACCAATGAAACCATTCCCTGGCAGTCCTATCGAACATTCTTTAAATGGACCTGGAATTTGGTAGTGTAGATGATACCAGTAAAACAATATATATAGTATACATATATATAGTTGTTTTGTTTTCAGGATTCAGGCTATTACAAATAGATGCTGGTTCGACTTTCTAGGTATTGTTAGTATAGGGCCCAGGACTAAGTCGCCTACACTTACCGACCTCTCCGGGTTTCGAACAACAGGATGGGCGGACCGGTCTAGAGGCAGACCGCAGTTTTGCGTTCCGATCGCACTCCAAGACCGGTCAGCACCGGTACACCGGAAATCACCGGAAAGAAAAAGACGGCATCGACGTCCGGACCCGGTTCGGACCCGTTGTCGGTCGCGCCGTTCTTCCGTTCTCCTGGACTTTCGGACCACCGGGCGCGCTGGATCGCCCTGGACACCGACGACCTCGGAGCTCCGCCCACCGCGCGCGATAGCACCACGCTCGCCCCGCGATCGTCGCACCCCGCGACTGGACCCGTCTGCTGCAGCCCAGCAGCAATAGTCGATCCAGACCTGGGGATCGATGCCAAGCGAGGAGACGTGACGGACGTGACGGACGTGACCGGACGTGACCGGACGTTCGATGGGCGCCATCGAAAGTAAAAAGAGTGGATGTCAATGGTTTTTTAGATGGGGGTCATTGGGGGTCCATAGAAATCACCTAGCTTTGGGGGGACTTGTGCCATCGAACCTCTGAAACCACTTACTACTAACTACTGCTTCTCGCACCATCGGGTGAACACTTAGCACGGCTGATCTCGGTCTCTAATCAGTGTCAAGTTCCGGGACCTCTGCACAGGCCTTTCAGTGTCAAAGTGTTGCCAAACATGGCGAGTTTGCGAAAAAGAAACACATCGCACAATGAAACGGTGGAATGTAGTGGCCCACCACCCACATTGGGAAAAGCCTGCCAATGAAAATCCAACAAACCGTTTCTATAAAACAACCACTCCTGGCTAATGTTTGTTCAGGTTTTGGAAACAGCCAGCCTAGGAACAGCCAAACAAATCGAGCAAGTGGTTTCGCTTTGTACACCAACCAACCAATACAAATACAGATTTCCTCACCTCAACCCAGAGTGATGGATTGTGCAGAGCAAGAGTTGGCTGAACCACAGGTCTCGCAGCGAGTCTCGCACTGCACATGCTCGAACCTTCGTCTCGTTTCGATCTCTGGCAACCAAATAAATAGAACCAGGAGTTCTTTAATCCCATACAATGGTAGATGGTCTATTACGTCTACCTGTACTCCTTGTATGATTCTAGAAACCACCTTTGTAATTAAATTGCTGGATCAATAGCACCTAGAAATGGGGTTGATTAATCTTCACGTACCTGGAAGGGCTTTGTGGTTGCCATCCCTCTTGCCCGGAAATACCGTTCTGACGTTTTTTTTGAAAGCCACATGGATCCACATAACCTCTGAGAAGGTCCAACTGGATCCCTAGGGTATTTGGACCCTTCAATTGCTCAAGGTAAACCCTGCGATGCCGGTGAAAACAGTTCAAAAGCTTCCAGAAGTGGGGCTTCATCAATCACAAAGAAAAACATGTTAAGCCATATCAAGCCCTAAGCAAAACCGGTTTCACATCACTTAAGGATGGTTTGTTTTAATTGTCACCGTCACATCCAGTTCGAAAGTCAAGCTTGGACCGTCCAAAGATCCATTGGACGACTTCAAAGATGAGGTTGTCGGACCCCCTAAGGACCACTGAAGACATCACCCAAAACCACCTCGTCACCATGAAAGAGAACCGTCGTCTCAGGGAAAGAAACACGACGCAGAAATCACCTTGGCTGTCAAGTTTGGTCCTTTGCTAAGAAGTTACTAAACCTGACTCATGGTGTCATAAGAAGTTCAACCCTAAACCAACATGGCCTTAAAAGGACTAATTACAGCACATACAGGTCTTGTTGAGTATGCCGCAACTCGGACTTGGATTTGCTTAAGGAACCATTAAACAAAAAACACATATTCATATTCCCCAGAAGGGAATTCACCCATAGGAAAAAAAACAAATAAAGCACCTGATCCGCAACATCAGGTAGATGGTCAGACGTACTTGAGACGTCAGGCACCGTCCGAGGTTGAGGGACTAAAGAAAGCGGATTGGATTGGATGGGTGCAGCATGAAGGGAGTAGGATTCGTCGCCAACCATTGTTTTGATGGTCTGGTTCCCGGTCAGAACCATTGTCTTACTAAGGATCTTTACACTACATCACCAGGTCAACCATTCTTTTGATGATCTTTGAAGGCTAGGGTGAAGGCCATATGAAGGATCGCTGAGAGCGACCGATGGACACCACCTCCAAAGTCCAAAAGTTATATATAGCGCTTCAGCTGTTCCCACCGGAGAATGTGCTGCTTCGTCAGAGTTGGTCTTGGATTTGCGCCAAGCAACGTATGTATGTTCAAAGTCATCTTTCCATTCCTGGCGCGTCCCAAGCCACCGAAGCGTCCCGGTGGGGACAGCTCAGTGGGGACAGCGGTGAGACACACTCTGGATAGCCAAAGATCTCTCGATCCCCAAACCCAAACCATCCATGTATGAAGGCATAAACACAATAAATATAAAAATACAATATTAAACATAACCACACACATAATATAGCTTAAGTCATGAACATCGGAACGCACATGCAGTTCACGCGATAAATCGTTAGGATTCACTGATATTCATCCGATATTGAAAGGACCAAATCACACAAAACAAATGAAACACCATGCACACTTCATCGATTAGAATGATCCTCCCCCACATGCGAAGGACCCTCTGAACTGGGTTCCCACAGGTCTTTCGAATGTCCTTTGGCCCCACGACCATTCTCTGGTTTCGTACGGTACTCAAGAGCTACCTGGACCCGGGTGTGAACTACCAAAGAGTTGCAGGTGACATACCCAGAAGATCCAGTTACCACGAATTATAGTTCATCCCTAGGCCTCCAAGTTACTTGCCAAGTACCTTCTGAGAAGGTGTTTGGGGTGGGTCCTTCTGAGGAGCTACGACTGGAGGCCTAGGGATATAACCAGTGGTTTCCAAAGACTACCACCGACCCTTTCACAAAAGCTGGCTCCTTTTTTCAAGCGTGACTGCCGGGGATTCGCTCGGATAACCGGTGCATGAATTGTCTAGCCAAACACTCCATGGGACTGCAAGACGGACTGCCGAGAAACGGTGAGGGGTGGTTGACCTGGGGTCAATGGATCGGCAGTCCCATGGCAGTCCCATGGAGTGTCTGGGAAATGTATCTGAGTCAACTGTCAACATCAGGAATCCTCCACTTGGTAGGGGGTATCATCAATGGGGAGAGAAAAGTAAGGTCATGAACCTGACACCAACGTAGCAGCCGACGTAGCAAAAACTTTGGACTGCCAAACCACCCCCCTTCAACCGCAACAAACAGCGTCCTCCCTCATTGCTTACCTTCTGTTCACTCCTGAAGCGGTTTGAGCTGGGTGACCCTGGGTGGATCTAGAGTTCATTGGTAGACCTTGTGAGAAGGTATACCACGGATCCCAAGGGGTGTATACCAAGGCCTTCCTGGTCAGGCTGTTGGACCGATTCCGGACAAAACAACATCCAGGAAAAAACCATCGATCTTGAACACCTCTTGGAGGCTTCTGGTACCTCTCATTTCCCTCTTGCCCCAGCTCGACGACTGGTCCGCGGCCTTGGCCGTAATCCCCGGGGAGCGGAAGAGCACGCTGTGGAGCCAATAGTCCTCCACCCTGGGCGCCAAAACGGAAGGACCCCTGGCACCGCTCCCGTTCGGAACACTGAGCACGTGCGCGGAAGCGCGCGGTTCCACGGAGAGACCAGTGCTGCCGCAGTGCTGCCGCAGTGCGTCTTCGGGTGGAAGAATGATGTGGGAAGACGTGGGAGGTACAGGAGCCCCGTTCGCCTAGTAGCTTTCTTGCTAGTAGTAAGTAAGAATGATCCGTTCGAGTCGCGATGCCGGGAGCCTCGTTCGTAGCGTCCGCTGCTCCTAGTACTAGTAAGGCCAGGAGCCCCGTTCGTAGCTTCTTGTTCCTAGTCTCGTAGAACAGCAGCCTATGTACTTCCAAGCGTCCTTGCTCCGCACTAAAGGTCACCAGAGTGGACAAGAGAGTTTCGTTGAGAGTCTGGAAGGACAGAGAGTCCTTTGAATTCTAGAGGTTCATGATGCTTCATCAATTTGCATGTCATATGCTTCCTACCAGGGGCCCCACAAACCATCAAAAACCTGGTTTTCCCTAGCAAAAAGACTGGTTTGGGTATATGAAAACCTTGACTTTACTTTTCTAGTTTTGAGGGCCCCTGGTACCCTGAGAGTACAGTCACTCATTTTGACCCCTGTCGTGGTTGATCACTCTTTTCGGTGGGTCGTCCAAACAGAAGTTCCAAATCCCACCAAATTCCGGTGAGCGGCGACGCTTCCGGAAAAAGAAGGCATCGGAGGGTCCAGTCATACCTTCTTCATCCTTCTTTGAAAATCAGAGGCCTTTGCCCAAAACATGGTCGACCTTGACCTTGGCCTTTGTGTCAGTTAAAAAAACACATGCTGTAACATGACTCCCAACGGAACTGCCTGAAACCATCTGATCATTCCTGATCCCCCAAAACCCAGACAGCTCGCGCCATGCTTGAGCCGCTTGACCCGCGCAACGCGCGCAGAAAGCGGCCCGCGCGCGCGGTTGACCCTCGACGCGCCTGTTCACTTCGCCGTTGCCGAGTCGATCCAAGACGCGTTTCAAGGTATAGAAGTGCTCCTTGCGAGCGCTCTTCGCCAGAGAACGCGTGTCCGGCTTCGTCGACGCGACCTGCGAACGAGTTCACTTCTACCTGTCGACTGCCAGACGGACTGAGATAGCCGATCCAGTGAGGGGTGGTGCCAGGGGGGACTGACTGACTAGGCATATACCCTAGGGATCCAGTCATACCGAACCTCAGAAGGCACCTGGACCCTCCTGGCACCCACCCCAGTCCCACCTTCTGAGAAGGTAGGACTGGATCCCTACTGGTAGGGACCGATATGACACGCATGGGGTGTCTGGGAAAGCGAGATGCCATGACGTTTGGATCCGAGAAACTTTGGTACCACGTTTCGGTGGAACCGGCCATGGCCGGATCTGCATGCTGGAACAGTTCGAAGGTGTACCATGGTATTGCTTTATGTACTTATATCTTTCAGTCCGCATGGATTCCGGGTAAAGGACTGTCCTTCTTTTCCCGCACCACGTCCGATGACCAGTCAGACGCAGCCCTGAGGCATTTTCCTTCAAAGGTCCGTGTTTGAAGGCTTCAAACATACACAGAAAAACAAACAATTCCCTACAGGTCCAGTCTGACCCAGGTCCAAACCTGTTCCTGAAAACCTGACTGAGTAGTGATCAACTTCAGTAAAATGAGGTCCTTTTAGACAACAAAACCAGATCAACTTTGAATGGTCGAACAGAAGGCTCAGAAGGCTAGATAGGGCTGGTGAAAGAAGAACACTGGCACACCGCCAGTACAGTAGCTTTCCCTTTTGGTTGTGGAGGATGTTGAGGATGTCCTTGCAGTATACAGTCCCACTTGCACCCTTGAGCCGTACACCTCTACACTACACGTCCCGCCCACACAAACAAGGACAAGGGTCCTCCACATTCTTCATACCCAAACGCATGCCTGGAATATTTACATACATTGGGGTAAAAGAGGGTCAATGTCGGCAGAAAGTGGGCCAACGTGGAGCGTCTGAGGACGATCTGTGGAAAATTCCATGCGACTGTCATCGTCGTCCTTCGGACAGGTGATCTGCCTCGCGCGTGGGATGTGCACACTTTCAGCCCCTCCCCCATCTCGAAGGCTCCAGGGGGCAACCCATGGATTGCGTTTCAAAACCCTAACCCCTCAAACTTTTAGGGTTTCAAAGCCCTGGCTTTGGACCTTAGGGCGGTTTCAAACGAGTCGTTCCTCTGAGGCCCGTTGTCTTGTCTCGAGTGTCCTGCTCAGGATCTGGATGGTTGTAACCTCGGTGAGGAAGAGAACGCGAACCCACAAGGAAAAAAAACAAAAGAAAAACTTATAGTGATGCAAATATCAACAAGTCATTCCCCTGCTGTATTTGGACTCCCGACATATGACATGGTCATTGATCTTTTGTCAGCTTCCTGATTTCTTGGGCCATTGGAAAATGTTTTGTTGCAAACACGGAGGATATATAGTCATCCTGGAGTAGATACAATATATGGAAAAAGCAAAAACATATATGAAACTGGTCATGCTTTTGGATTGGTTCATATTCTATCTACTCACTACTCCAGGGTGGCTGTAGTTCCATACGCCCTCGCGGTAGAACCAACTCCTAACATCGGGTCGCCTGCGAGCCCTGCGACCGACCCCCCACCGCTCGGACCGTCGTCATGGGATGCACCGCAGCGGCGAACGAGAGCGGCGTCGGACGAGGTCTCCCATGCAGACACCAAGCAACCCCATGGATCGTGGTTTCAACCACCCAACTCATTGGCAAATACCCAGACCATCCATGTGTGGAATAGATACCCCACATTGGGGTCTTAATTTTGAATGGTCTAGGTCTGGGATATGACAGTGGCGTGGAGTGTCTGGGTCTCTGTCAGAAACTCCCTGGAATCTCGGGCATGCGATTGCTTGCTTGATTGATAGAGGGGATACCTTCCACCGTTATATGATTGTATTGTCCCTGCAGCTCCAAGACCTGATTTTACACAAAATGACAAAAACACTATAGTCACTAGTCAAAGAGGTTTTCAGGACCAGATTTTACTGGGTCAGCCTGGATGTGCGTACCGATTTTGACCAATACGAATAGAGGATGCGTGATGCGTCGTGGGACTTGGCAGTCCCAGGGGTCCCAGTGAGTCCAACCAAAAGGTTGTAGTTCCACATGTGAACACCATCACTGGTTGACTGGTTGAAGGCCAACAAAAACGCGACCTCAGTTTCCCTTGAACATTTAGGTTAGCCGCTAGCCTATTTCCAGTGGGGAAGCCAATCCCCCTAAAAGGTTAACGGCTCTCCACTGACAGGGTAGGACCATGTACCAGCACCATCCAAGGGAACCCAATGAGCTCCCGTACTGCTTAAGGCATCTCGTGTGGTGAGCCCTTTGGATGGTCTAGAAGCTCAAAAACATATCTCCAGGTTGGACCTCCCTATTCTGTGTCAGTGGTCAAGCAAGGTGGCTTTGACCCGCGGCCATGTATATTACCAGGGCCCAGTGGATGTGGTGATCATATTGATCTGTTACTGTGGATGGGCTACACCCTACACACAGGGCATGGCTGGGGGGGTGTTCAACCCGCGAAGTGAGACCCTGTGGAGAGAGCAGACAGACCTACAAGTCCGGACGTATGCAGCACTGCGGGTCGCACCACCGCCAAGCACCAGCTGCTGACGTCGGACACCGAGTGGCTGAGCCATTGATGAGAGACCACGATGACCTTGCCTTGCTTCTCCGGGGTGAACTCCTGGGGTTCTGGCCATAACACCCTGAAACACCACCAAATCAGGTACACCGTCCGTTTGAAGCCGAAGAAAATGGATGCACGAAGATGGACGAAGATGAGCGAAAGAAATTGATCTAAGTGTACCTGACGCCCCCTACCTGGACCCTCCCATCACGGGGTGTCCTGGCTGGAGATCCACCAGTGGGGTGGGTTGAAATACCCAAACCCCGATGTTCGTTCAGCTGTTGGTCGACCATGGGACGGAAGTTTAAGGAACCGGGAAACATGTAAATGAACATCCCTGAGAAGGGGATTCATCCATACCCTAAGAATCCGGACCCTCAAACACATAGGGTTTTGAGGGCCAGGACCCCTGCTATGGAGGGTCCGACCCCTGCCATGGAGAGCCCAAGGATTCTTAGGGAAAACATCTAAAAATCACCCTAAGTAAAAATCCGATGTTGAAGGCCGATCCTGAACTTCTTGAAGGTCCGTTGTTCAAAGGTTTCTCACCAATCCCTAGTTTTGGACCAGGAAAGGGCTGTGAACAGCGGGTGGTCTCTGCGCCTGGCCACGGGTGCATCCCTAAAGCCGCTCCTCCAAGTAGCCCCTCTCCAGCATCTCGTGATGGATCAAGAATTTCCTCATCCTGATGGAGTTCCGTCGGAAGACGACGCTGTTCCGTCGTGTAAAGAGACGTCCGCCGCAGAACGTCCGTCGACCTGAAAAAAAAAACACCTCCAAAACCCCAAAACACTCCGTCCCAAACACTCTATGGGACTGGAATATATGCATATCCATTCATCCCCCTGGCACCACCACCCCTCGCTTGATCGGCAGTCCTATGGCAGTCCCCAGACTGGATTTGTCCAGGAACCTGGACAAAACTATAGAATATTCCCCAGGTTTCGGGATTCAGCCAGGAACCGGGAAAAAATGGAACCTAATATACGCCAAAACCTCGCAAAAGCCGGTATACTGGTGGTCCCCGAAATAATAGTGGTACGGCTTCCAAGACATTTTTCGTGGGGATCTACGAACTTCTTATCTATTTGGGGCTCTACCCGTGAGGACTGGTCCACCCCAGGTCTTGCACCACCCCAGGTCTAGACCTGTCAGGACCTGTATAGACGGGTTTTGGTGGTCTACATGGCCCTACAGTTCGTTCGTTCCTCATTTTACTGGGGATGGTCATACAAAACCAATACTTGAGGAGGTAAAAGACCAGGTTTTACTGGGTCAGACTGGACTTGTAGGGTGGTAAAAACCATGGTAAAGCCGCCCCAGGTACCACCCGTGAGGGCTCCATGCCAGTCAACCCTTAACCATCCAGGACCTTCTTTCTTTCGGCTATGAGGCTCGAAGTGAGGCTCGCCGGGGTGTCCAAAGACCGGACTTGGGAGGTTTGTGGTAAATACCTATCCCAGACACGACTAATGGGACTGGCATATATGCCGATCAGTTGGGGTGGTGGTTTGGGGGGTCAATGGGGCGGCATATATGGCAGTCCCATGGAGTGTCTGGGTATGTGGTTTTTGGGCCATGTCCCACTTTGATGGGTGGAAGAAAAGGGTGGTCAAGCTACGAGTTTAGCCGTTGCTGCCCATGGCCGGGATCTTGTCCCACATGGCCGCTGGGCGTGGCTGGGCGGAGGCTCTTGTTTGACAAAAACCCTGTAAGTCTGTCAGTCTCATGAAGTGTTTGTCAGTGGTGCAGTCAGCTCTTGCTTCGCAAAAAGCCGACTCCAAATATCTTAGCTGAAACTTAAAACACACTGCAACAAAACAACACGAACCAAACAAACCATCAATCAAACAAACAAGCCAAACCAACCAACAAACCAACAAACAAAACAACGGCCCATTTGGCCGTACACTACACGCGTTCTCGTGCGCCTCTCCTCTCAGTGGCTGTGTGATTTCAAGGTTGTTTGACCTCAGCCAGGCCTTGTCCTTTTCGATATCCGCCCAAGTCATTTGGGGAGATACCAAAAACATTCTTCCCATGGTCTCTCTACAAGGCAAAACTTCCCAACCAGGAGCTTGCCGCTGCCTGCTGCACCACGTGTGCGATCTGGGATTTGGCTGCATGATCTCCACCTGTTTTGAATAGCTGCAGTGTCTTGGCGGCAGCTGGTCTCTTGGCCCAAAGATCAGGACCAGGACCAGGACCAGGCGCTTCTCAAGCTTCATCTGTTGGATGGTAGCCAGCGTCTTCGACCTCTTGGTAGGACGTGCTGTCGCAACGACCAGCGTGTCCAGCCAGTTCGTCCTTCGCTGGCGCAACGACGACGTCGTTCAGCAGGCAGGTTGCACGTCCTCCAGCTGCTCGGAACACGGTGTGTTCAGATTGGAACACGGTAGGTGTCCTACACGAAAGTCTGCAGGTTGGCACCGAACCAATGGTTTTTTCAGCTTGCCAACCCTACAAATCCAGTCATACCGAACCTCAGGTACGGCACCTGGACCCGACTTGCTGGCAGCCCAGTCCCACCGAACCTGAGGAGAAGGCACGACTACATCCCTAGGGCAAAATCATGCGTGTTCAAACGAAGGTTCGAGCTTGCGCGTCTAAGTTCGTCGCGCGCTCTGCAGAAGAGCTTCCACGTCTGCAAAGGCGGATCGTCTGCTTACATAAAGAGCAATGATTGCATACATGTCCCATCTCTTTTGGTCGTGCGCTACCGGGTTTGCAGCATACTCCTGGTTTTTTTCGTTTTTCGACGAGATCATGTATCCCGTATTGGGGAGGTTCACCCACAGAGCGCCCATCGTATTGCACCTGCCGCCACGCAACAAGGCCCTGTTTAGAACCTGCAGCCGACACTGACTGTCCTGAAGACAATTTGGCTACTATTTCCTGTTGGGAACGCTCCAAAGGCGCTTCTCATCGAATCCGCCCCGCTGCATGGTAAGAATTCTGCTGTTTCTTCTCACTGCCATGCCGAGATGCTTGTTTACGGGCATACCGTGGCATCAGGGCATTTCCCACTGCACAGGTTGGAAAGCCGTGGCACAGGCCGGGCCAGACGCCCAGGTAGAGAGAGAGATCCGGCAGCAGCAATGAGCAATCCAGGGAGCAGGTTCATGTTTTCTCCACATCGCTTTTTTGATGATACTTGTGGGGTTTTGAAGACATTGTTCATTAAATTATGCAAACATTGCAACCTTTAAAAGGTTGCAATGTTTGCATATGTTTGCAGTATTTACTGTGGTTTGACAAAGTCCTACTGTCGTACCCCCAAAGCTGTTTCTTTTTCCGGCAATAATTACTTGTTGCAGAAGTCGTGCAATTTTACAAAGCCAAGATTTTATTCATGGATTATCGTGGCTTTTGCATTGAAACCTCCATTCAGCTTGGCATTAGGATGTTGGGAAGATGCATTTTTTCATGATTCTGCGTTTAGCTTGGGGGTGGTTACACTCATCTTGACAAACCTGGTTGCCCCAACTTTTGGTTGGTGTTGGTTGGTTGGTTGGTTGGTTGGTTGGTTGGTTCGCATTCTTTGGTTGGTTTGTGTTCTTTGGCTGGGTTGGTTGGTTCGTGTTCTTTGTGGTTGGTGGTTGGTTCGTGGTTGGTTGGTTGGTTGGTTGTGTGTTGGTTGGTTGGCTGCCTGGCTGGTTGGTTGGTTCGTATTGTTTGGTTGGTTGGTTCGTGTTCTTTGCGTGTTCTTTGCCGAGAAACGCGCGTGTACGTCCAACTGGAGCCCCAAAACCAACAACGAAGGAGCTCGATCCCAAAGCCTCCGATCTCGGTGCCGACCGAGCGGCTGCATTAACCTTTTCATTGGGATCACCTCGAAGCGGGGCGAAGGCCAGAGCAGACCAGCTGGACCAGCTGGACCAGGAGTTGGTTGATGGGTGCAGCTATATAGCTATATTGGGTAAAAGTGTGTCGACTGGCACAAACAGCTCCAATCTTCAGAAGTGTGATGTGTCTAACTCGGTTTCCATGAAGACCGCCTCCAGCACCACGGATTCCCAGTGTCCATGACAAAAAAAGGCCTGAAAAGGTCCAAGGGTGTTCATTAACCACCCCTTGCGGGTCCAGGCTTGAATCCTTCTTTTTTCGCGGGCTGGGAATAGACGAAGTCTTAGAGGCTGGCGGTCTTTTGGTACATGCCCCAACTTTTCCCCGGTTCATCTCGCAACCTCCATGGCCTCATTTTGGGGAGGCCCTACCATCATCTGGGAGGAGAACAGGGTGAACCCGGGCAGGCTTGTAAATGCAAGGAGTTGGTCCGGGGTACATCCTCGAGGTTGGGAATAGGGTTTAGAGATGGGTGGGTCGACTAGAGATCTGGGATGATCCAGCAGGGCCTCCTAAACCGCAAAGCTCATCCTTCTCGAACTTCGAGCGTGTGGGTGGCCAAAGCAACGCCAGGAGTGGAGCTCGAGGGCCTCTGGGAAAAACTGGCGGAGATCATCTGCCATGACATCCCAAATATGACTTCACTATACACTCCCTCTACTGTCTGCATACATTCTGCTACCTGGTCAGTGAACTACTCCAACCTCTTCACCCCAGCGCCATACCTAAGGCTATACCTGGGGCCCCGACATACATGGGATAGCGAGCGTTCAAGGCTGAAAGGTCGCCAAAGTTGTCCATGGCGCAAAAAGCCCGGCCGGATGCGCTTCCGCCGAGGAAGCAGCGCAGCGTAGTAAGTGCAAGTGGGGTGTGAATGTGCCGCGGTCGCAGCACCTGCAGTGGGTTGCGGTGTTGAAAGGCACCGGAAAGGCGAACTTATTCAAACGTGGGGATCAAGCCCAAAAAAAGGCTATGCACCACCTCACCCAGTTTGGGTGGTTATTGGATGGAACATATAATCTTCAGGGGGGTCTATAAACCACACGATCTGGGTGGTGCTGGGAGAGGGTTTGGACTGGGTTCCAGCAACTTGTTGAAAAGTTGTTTTCTGGAACACCGGGCAAAGTTCTCACATATCATATAGACTTCCGTTCGCGACCGGTTGATCCCCTGCTTGGTTTCACTTCTATAGGCCTGGCAATCAAAGCTGGGGGCAAGCCTTCCAGCCTGCAAGGCGCCCCCAAATCTATCCAGAGCCACTCCATGTCTCGCAAGTTGGGGTTTGGAAGCTCCCAGTGGTCAGTAGCCATTTCCGTCAGTCACGAAGTGAACTTCTTCAGCCGATGGACGTTCGGACTGAGCCTCCCGCCGCTCGGGACGAGTTCGCGGACAGCGGGGAGCATGCTCCGTAGACGAGTCGTAGACGGTCAGCCCCGGAGCCCGTCGCGTCCGGTGACGCTCCTACTCCACGATTCTTTTCTGCCCTAAGGGTCCAGGACCATCCGAATCGGATGTCCTTTGACCCCCAAAACCATCCTCACAAAGTACTTTCACCTCCAAGACCATCCTCAAGAGGTACCTGGACCCTATGGGCTGGTCATAACATTCACGTCATAACTCCACTCGCTCAAGTGGATGTTGTGATTCTTCCGGAGAGGTGATCTGTTTGATGTCGAAGGTGGTTTTTCACAAGTCGTTTTGATCCCGACCATCCTGCAATGCTCCAAGTGTTGTTCTCAAAGTGTTCGAAGCTGTTTGGACCCTCCACACGCTGAAAAAGATTGGCAAAGGAAGCAGCAGTCTTTAGAGTGACCAGCGCTCTATCATGCTTTATTCAATTTAACCTATGCTAGCCTTCCAAGACCAATTGAAAAGTGCTTCACACCTGGTACAGTCTAAAATACTTATTAAAAAAAATCAAACACGCTCCCAATTCAAAGCCAGGACTCTGGCTGACAAAAAAACACACGACCCTACAGGTCAAAGACCTCATTTGACTCGACGTGGTCATACAAAAACACCGCGTCCAAGGAGGTCCGTCGACGTGTACGTCCAACTGGGTCAGACTGGACGTACGTAGGGCGACGACGATTCCAAGAAGTTCACTCTAGGGAGGTCTCTGGTCGGGTCTCCCGATTCCTTCCAGGGCACGAGGATGGAGCAGTTCCACCTTCACAGCCGAAGAGCTTCGCTAGCTATACAAGCCACTTATGGGCACCAATCCCAATCTTCTCGAGCACCAAAATGTTTCGCCATGTTAAGACTCGACAAACTAGTGGTGGCCACAAGCGGCCACATGACATACGCGCAGCAAATCTGAGGCTGAGGCCTGAAAGTGCGGGGAATTCTATTGTGGCGGGGCCGGCTTGTATATATCCCAGACACTCCATGTATGGCATATTTACATACATTGACCCCTAAAACCACCCCAATGTAGGTAAATATGCCAGACATGGAGTGTTTGGGTATAAAGTTTACGTGTCTTCTTTGGGCGAAAGTCACATGCCCTAGGGCCTCCTGGTCTACCTCTGTTTCAGTTCGGTTTCTTCGGTCTGGCTGACAGAATGGTCCATGATGGTCTAAGGATGTCTTCCGAGACGATAAGGACTTTTGCCCTGTATGGATGGTTTCATGGCCGCCCAAGTTGATTGATACTCAAAACTTCATCTCCATGCACCCAAGCTGCCCCCCCCAACACACTGACTTCGCAAAGCTCTCCGAATCCTGAATCCCTATTGCGGTTAATATATGCATGCATGGATTTATATGGCATTATATGTTTGGATGAAGACACCAGGTGCGATTTGTATTATTTTTGGGGGAGAAGCTGGGGGTCTCAGGAGGGCCTCCTGAGACCCCCAGCTTTTGATGCACCCTCCTGTCTTGTGTGGACCCTTCTGAACTCCTGAAAGGACCCCGAAATCGCTGTTGACATCTCCAATGACGCCACCAGGCCGGACTCTTGTGCCGTGACATGGCGCGTGACGTCGATAGACACCATCGTGACCTGCACCGTCGTGACATGCTCGTCGGGTGTCCACCCACACCGGAGACATGACACGAAGCAAAAAGACTATGGAACCCCAAACAACCGGAAAGAAATGGATGTTTCCCCAAACAACCATTTCCTATGTAAAGGATTTCAATTGCCATAATGGAACAACCATTTGTTTCTAGTTGTTTGGGGTTCCAGGATAGTCCGACATTTCTATAGGGATCCGGTCGTACCTTCACCTCAGGTTCGCTACGACGCCTGACCCGACTGGTCGGGCACCTAGACATCACAGGGCCTGAAAAAAAGCCGTACCTCAGAGGGTGGCAGTGGATGCCTACAGGAAGTCCAGGCTTTTTGGAAGTGCGAATAAAGGGTCCAGGTACCAGCACGCTCCTTCTGAGGTGGTTTTTTTTAATAGCAAAGAGGTGAGGTTAAGATAGGTTAAGGGGTGTCGTTCGTTGGAGGTTGGGTCATAGCTTCCTGCTGACCCCCGCTCTGAACTCGAAACATCTCGAACACCCTTTACGCCTTAGGCCCTTGCTTCGATCGCTCCTTAGGCCCTCGCTTTCTCCTACTTTCGAGTGAACTTCGGTGCTTCACCCCTCAAACACCGTCCTACCGCCGTAAACCCCTCTAGAGTTTCCCGCCAACCTCCCAAATTCCCATCCGAATGAGACAGTTCCACAGTGACCGGTCACCCATTCAGAGTCATCTTCATGGGTGGTCTTGCTCCTCTTCCAGTCGCCAGGGTCTGGTCGCCGCGGTCGCTTCTTTTTCGACCCCAACGGCCGAGCGTCCACTTCATGGACCCGGCTCCGGCGGCTCACGCTCACGCTGCGCGCGGCGAGGGCTGGTCCGCGGCGGTCCGCGCCCAGCTGGCGGGAAGCGCGGGAAGGCGCGGTGGGTGAGTGTGGGAGGTTTTGAGAGGTGGGAAGGGGTGTTGGGCTGGAGGTGGGTGGGGAGAAATGATGCGAAAGGCATACCATCACCGACCTAGTGTTCTATTCGCATAGAGTCTCAACATGGAAGACTGATACGGTCGGACCGGACCTGTTTTGGAGTCCATTGTTCCATTTTCGGAAGACCGAAGTCGGGTCCAGCTTGTATACTCGCATGAGAGATGAAGGCTTCTTCGGGTGAACTGGAAGAAACTCCTGTTTGGGTGGGGGAAGTCCAATGTAGTTTTATTGCAGCACCTGATATGAAAAAAGTGCGCACTCGATATCTGTCGATGATTTTTTAAATTGTGTGTGTTCCTTTTCCTAGGTCGGTGTTCATCTGCAAACACCACGTTCTATGTGTTTCACATTGTCACTGTCTCAAATGGTTTCACGCACTCCGCCGGCCGTGTTGCTACAAGCGCGAAAACGTGTGAACGTGATGAAACCTGATGAAACTCCCAAGGGTACCTGGACCCGACTTGCGTCGTAGAAAAGGTCATGATCCCATGAGAACTGGTAACTGGTACCCTTTTCCGTCGGTACGAATGAGTCGAGTCCAGGTACTGTTCTTTTCCCACAAAGCTGACGCGCATGGTCTCGCTCCCCTGAAGGTCGACCTCTGGTCGGAGATCGACCTCGTTGACTCATGGTCGATCAATTTCTCCGCACAGGTGATGAACCACCATTTCGCCGAGCGGCTCAAGGGCACAACATGCTCAAGACCCCCACCCTAATCATCGAACCCCAAAAACGCAGGTAGGCCAGGAGTTCTATAGGCTTATCTAGCACACGTGCCTTGGTGTCAGTTTCAGACCGCCCCCACCCCACCGACCCCCCGACCCCACCGACCCACGTCACCTTGGGCCGTTCATCCTCGCTGCGAGGGGACAATCCCAGCTCTCTGTAGCGCCTTAGAGGGGACGACCATCCCCACCGTGCCGCCCACCGCACCCGGATGCTGGGGAGGTGACGTCACGTCTGAAACAAAAACCTCCGAAACACGAAGGTGGGGTGCGGGTAGCGCTCCAGCTTCCCCCCTTTGAGGCATCCCATCCGGAGTTCAAAGCAACGCTTCGTTCGGTTGACCGTGCTTCTTTCCTTCTGGAACCACTTCCATGGATTCTTGGACCTGTATTCTCCATGTATCTCAGAAAATGGGTTCAGTCGTACCTGTTTTTATAGGGCCATGTCCGATTGGTTTAAGATGGTTTAAGTTTTAAGGTACTTGAAGTCAGGTCCAGGTATAACTGAGAATTCCATTTTATTGAAGCAGCACAACAGGGACGAAACACGTTGTGACCTTGTGCTTCATTGTCCGCTTTGGATAAAGATCTCTAGTTTCTTGGAATCGTCATGGGACTTGCGTAGGGGATTTACCCTGTGTGTCAGTCACTCGTGAAATCTCCTGACATATGGAGGATGATACTTCTGTTGAATGGGCCATCTGGCAGCCAAATGTTGGAGCACCTTGGTGCGGCCGACGTGATACAGCACATTTAACACGCAAACAACTTGCAGGACCCTGTAAAAGAATACCAAATCGAAGATCATCATCTGATACCAAAACCATCCAAAACCTATTTCTGGCCGTGAAAGCGCCAAAGGGACGCTGGCACCACCCTTGCCCCACAGAGGGTCGGAAAGCAGCCGAGGTCAGAGTCAACCTAAAGATGTCCACACTTTGGAGGCGAAACTGCCCATGCTCCCCATGCTGACCATCCATTCGGGTTCAACCCCCAAAAAAAAGCAGCACCACGGATTTGGATGTCAAATACACCACCCACTAGGCACCTCCGGTGCCAAGACGTGGCACGCTTCTCCGGCCATTCGGCCACCGCCGCCGTGGCACGAGAGCTGCGAGACGTGCCTTGGGGACTTGGACGAATGCTTCGGCATGGGCCGAGCCTCAGCGGTTGGGCTGGGCGTGCGTTGACCGTGTGGGGCGTGTGCTTTTCACGGAGGAGCCCGGGGGGTTAGGATGAATTAGGTACAGGTAGATCGCATGTCTGACACTCGATCCAATATCTTGTCCATTTTGATGTGTCTAATGGTTCAATGTCTTTCTAATGTGCCTTTTTCCTGGTTGTTTCACGTTTCAAAAACAGCATCCCACATCTTTTTGATGTTTCTATGAAAAAAATCCAAGCCAAGCGCCCGGGCACTGTTGGGGCCGCTGTTGGCCAAGAGGGGCTTTGCTTCGAGGTTCTTCCCATCTGCGGAGATCTTTGGACAGGGGGAGGTCTTGAGATTTGGATGAAAGTGAGCTGATCAGATTGAAGATCTTTGTAGATGTTTGCAGGGTGCTCTTGGCTGATTTCCTGAGTGTGGAAACATCGGACGTCTGTCTTTTGATGCCCGTTCTTTACTCCCCAACTCCCCCAGAAATTTCCACCTACTTCCTGGGTAGGCCTGAAAACCAACTCAAGAAGTTTTTGAACGACCGTTTAAAAGCGTAAAGCACAACGAAGTCCCATACGAGCAGATCATAATTCACCAAGGACACGAGCTGTTTGAGCCAGTGTCCTGGTAGATGATGTTTGCATGAGCGTTGTGGCGAGTTTGCATGTAAATTGACCCCCATGTCGAGACCTTTTTGTGGATCAATGGATCGATGCATGCCAGCTATATATGTGATGGATCCTGGGGGCCCTACCTGGCAGAACCGTTCATGAATTCTTAGAGCCCAAGGGCTCCTGGCCCACCTCCGTTTCGAAGATGGTTGGGGTGGAGGCCAGGGGGGTCTAACCGAACCTGAGGATGTGGGCCAGGAGCCCTAAATAAAGTCTTAGGAGTTGTTGAATTGCCCCACGGAAATTTTTTGTCCGTCAGTCCAGCTACACCATGCTACACCTTGTCCATTTGAGACACCTCGATGAACCCGTCTCATTTGATACCCAAGTGACCCGTCTCGTAGCCCTTTTGGTCTGGAAAAAAAACAGAAATAATGACCTTACGCGATCGAAAGCCGTCGACGGAAATCCGAACAAGGGAAGGTCAGATGGTGCCCACCACGTCCAAACCTGGCTCATGAGACCATCCTTGTACCACTCCAACAGGTCACCAATCTCAGACATGCCATGGGACTGGCGGCCGATCAGTTGGGGTTGAAAGGTACGACCTGAAATCCATGTTCCGAGGTACTTTCACGGGTTGAGTCCAGTCTGGAACTGGCTCGATCTTCTGGGGCCTGGGCGAACCCTGCTGGAATCGGAGACCTTTTCGGAGTTAAGTGCTGAGACCTTGGCTCCAGACCTACGCTCGACGTAAGTGCTGGGCTCCCATGCTGATATCTATTGATT